GTTTCAGCCGATTCTTGAGGAAGGGGTTTGCCGATTCGATTGCTCGCCTGAGGATCGTGAAAAGGCGTTTCCGAGCATCTCTTTTGCTGATCCAAAGGCCAGAGAGACGCTGATCATGACCTACCAAGTGCCTGAGTTCGTCCCTGAGTTCATCTGCGATCGCAAGCAGCAGCAGGCTGTTACCCTTCAGGTTCGATCTTCTATTGGTTGAGTTAGGGGGTGTTTGTTTCAAATCCCAAAATTTATGGATATGGATTTCAACATAGAATTTGAAATCCATAAATTTTTTGTGAGTTCATCTGCGATCGCAAGCAGCAGCAGGCTGTTACCCTTCAGGTTCGATCTTCTATTGGTTGAGTGAAGAAATTAAGCAGTTTATTGTTGGAATTGTTTCTGTTGTAGAAAAAAAAAATTTAAGTTCCCTTCTGCTTGATTAGCTTCAAGGACTTGGAAGTAATTTAGGATTGATACTTTTGACATCCAAGTACTTCTGATGTGAAGCACGGTGTTATTTCTAGAAGAAAGACATTTCAAGATTTCTGCATTTCGTTGATTTGTGTCTCTTCTTTTCTCTCGGGAAGCTTCCTACGGGAACCTCATTTTATGGAACTGGAGAAGTGAGCGGACAGCTCGAGCGGACAGGGAAGCGGGTAAATTATCTGGCCAACTGCTTATGGTAGCCCATTGTTGTAGGCATACTCACCTGATGAAGTCATCTCAGATCTTTACGTGGAACACGGATGCGTGGGGTTACGGTCCAGAAACAACCTCCTTGTACCAGTCACATCCTTGGGTTCTAGCTTTGCTTCCCGATGGAAGGGCACTAGGGGTTCTTGCTGACACAACTCGTCGTTGTGAGGTCTGTCCAATATTATTCCATTATTGCACTTTCTGCTGATAGGGAGGGAAACTGATGATGATGTGGTGTCAAATTATGCTTTGACAGATTGATCTACGGGAAGGTTCGACTATAAAGTTCTCGGCTGCAGCTGTTTACCCTGTTATCACATTTGGCCCATTTGCGTCGCCTACTGAAGTCCTTGTTTCCTTCTCTCATGCCATAGGTTATATTGCAGAACCGTTTTTACCCCCCACCAGTAGTTGCTAATGTTCTGAGCCTGATATGTTTGAATTTTATGTGATTTTAGTTGGTCTCTGTTTGTAGCCATGTGCATATTCCTCATAGCTCAAAGACAAATTTTATCCTAAACAGAAAAACTGATCCTTGACTGGATATGATTCGTATACCAATAGAAATGATTGATTAAGAGCAGTTAATAGAATTACAATGCTAACTGTATGGCTAGCCGTACCATGGTTTGCTAGTTCAACTGAGTAAAATGAGATGGACATTACTAGGATGATGTTCCTTTATGATTCAGGCCAGAGTTCTCCCTAGACTAATATTGCCCCAGTGCAATATTTAATGCAATCAGGTGTCTGGTTGCTTGTGTCATTGTGTGGGTTTCTAATTGCTTTTTAAGGAATGATTAATTTGGAAGAGGCAATTGATTATTATCAATTCGGTAGCCTCGTTAAACTGTTGATACTTTATAACCCGCTTATCAAGGTGGAGCATGACAGATAAACTTGTGCCATATATCGCTAGTTTATATTACAACAGATGCATTTTATATTGCCTACAGCCTCCACTATGCCTCTTGGCTCTTGTTATGAAGAACAACTACTACTCTACTTTAAGTTTTTCTCCCTTCTGAAGCACGACAAGATGTACGATTAGGCCCCTCTCTAATGAGTTATGCTAACATTTTAGTTTCTGAAGAGGTTGGAATAGAACCAAATCACCTATTCATTGTTTTTTAGATGAAATTCTGTAATATTTGTTCTCTCTTTTTAAAGTAGTATGTTGACCCCAAATTGACATTTTCCACTGTTTTCATTAGGAACTATATTTATGCCTCCAAAGTGGTCTCTGGGTTACCATCAATGTCGATGGAGCTATGAGCCTGATGCTAAAGTCCTTGAGGTACAGCCCTCGTAGCTTTCTTCCTGGATCTACATAAATGAGCTTTAACCCTTTTCTTTCTAATAGTCACCACCATACTTTTTTTGCGACTAACAACTATATATAAAGTTGATTTTATTTGGCTTCTCTTCATGCCACTAATACAAAGGTTCTAGTTTGTCTTTATACATCTATATAGTATATTCTGGTATTGAACTACATATTTACAACCGCCCTTTGTTTTCTTGACTATGTTTTAATACAGATTGCTAGGACATTCCGGGAGAAAGATATACCTTGTGACGTCATATGGATGGATATTGACTACATGGATGGATTTCGATGTTTTACCTTTGACAAAGTATTTAATCTACTCCCGTCTTTCTTTTACATTATCTCTTTTCTTATCCTCTGAAGTGTAGTAGTCATATTATCTCAACTGAATAAGGCTTGTTCTGCATCTGCTATGTAACAATAATCTGCTGACAGACAAACTACAAACTGTATCTCTATTGAATGGAAGAATCATTAATTGATAGTTTGGTACCTATTACTTGGACAGGTTGGAAATTGGGAAGAAAACAATTGATCAAAAGGTGCTAGGCTTAGTTATTATTTGTTTTTCTAACAGAACAACTACTAACCCTTTCTCTAATAACAATATATTCCCCTGAGTTATTTCATTAAATCTAGTCTGATATTTAGGCCCTATGGGAGAGAATTCGCCAAGATGGTTTGAAAATGTGCAACAGAGGCCAATAAATAAGCTACTGAAAGTGATAATGATATAGTTAATGCGGGAAAGGCATTACACCCTACGCTTATATTCTGTGTTTACACTTACCAATAATCCGTTTCTTCAATTTCATCAAAACTGAGAGTTTTTGGTGGGGCTAAGAGAAGTATATTTACCCTATAATATTTTTCAGGTTGACGGCCTCTTTCTGAACGTGAAATCTCGGCTTTTATGTAGTGTTTTATTTTCTGAGGAAACATTATTTCTGCTCTAACAGACTTCAAGAAGCAATTACGAGACAAGACAATCACATGCATCTTCATCTAGTTACTCAAATTATCTGCAACATGAAAGATGTATACATTGCCATATACAATACAGCTATTGTGGAATATAGTCTTATGTTGTTATAAAATTGAAGGAAAATTCTCATTGAACCTCATGTTATATCATAGCTTCAGAGGTTCAATTCTCAGCATAAGTGGATTCATGAATTTTCTGAAACACATCTAATCTTGTTTGGCTAATATTGTAGGAACGCTTTTCTGATCCACAAACTATGGTTAATGACCTTCATGCCATTGGTTTCAAAGCAATCTGGATGCTTGATCCAGGGATTAAAAATGAGGAAGGTTACTTTGTTTATGATAGCGGATCTGATAATGATGTCTGGATAAAAAATGCAGAGGGCAACCCTTTCGTTGGTAAAGTTTTCCATGTTTAATTATAATGATACAGACAGTTAAGACTTCATTGTTCATTTTTTGTTGCTACTTTTAGGGGAGGTATGGCCAGGCCCTTGTGTTTTCCCTGATTTCACACGAGGAGAAACACGATCATGGTGGGCAAAGTTAGTAAAGGACTTCATTGCCAATGGTGTTGATGGAATATGGAATGATATGAATGAGCCTGCAGTTTTCAAAGTAAGTTTTTGAATATCAACTTAGTATGTTTTACTTTCTATAGTTACCGCTTGCTGATAATAAAGCAAGACCATGACCATGCAGACCGTGACGAAAACAATGCCTGAGAGCAATATCCACAGAGGAGATGCTGAACTCGGTGGCTGCCAAAATCATTCTCACTATCACAATGTATTTATTTCCAACAGATGCGCTTTAATATTTTCAAAAAATAGTGTACATAAGTATGTACTTTGTAGTTTGTTGGTTTTAATTAAACAGTGGATATGCAATACACACTTGTAAAAATATTTTATTTCTTTGTTCTATATTTTAGATTTGGAACTTTTCTTCCTAAATTCATCATCATCCAGGTTTATGGCTTACTGATGGCAAGATCGACTTATGAAGGCATGAAAATGTCTAGTGAGGAAAAACGGCCTTTTGTTCTCACAAGAGCTGGTTCTATTGGAAGCCAGCGCTATGCTGCAACATGGTCCGGAGACAACCTATCAACCTGGGAACACTTACATATGAGTTTACCCATGGTACTTCAGTTGGTAAGTTGATGAATTAACACTAAACTATCATGCTATATAATACCAGCAAAACATTTAACAACTTTAGAGCATGCAATACTATGCTAGTATGGAATTTGCATAAAACTTGTTGGGGTATTTAGTACTGCTGCTTCACTAGAAAATAGAGATGAAAAGTGAAGTCAGACAGCGTTTTTGGGTCTCAGATATTTTTCATCTGTTTAGCAACATGTTGAAAACATAGAAAATTTTTCTATTGACTTAGGAATATGGTTATATATTATCTTTAGTTCATTTTTTTATCTAAATAAAGAAAAAAATTGCAAAGAGAATTAAGTTAATCGTTAAAAAACATGAATAGGGACACGGGATATGAAATAAAGAAAAAAATTGCAAAGAGAATTAAGTTAATCGTTAAAAAACATGAATAGGGACACGGGATATGGACTTGACAAAACAAAGTCATGGAAAATTAAGTTAATCGTTAAAAAACATGAATAGGGACACGGGATATGGACTTGACAAAACAAAGTCATGGAGACAAAGCAATTTCTTAAAAGTAGGACATATTTTATGAGAATATGCATGTTTGTAAGGAGATTGTGCATGAATGCACATCTATTCCTCCAAAAGGGTGAATATGTTTGTGTGTGCACACACATACACTCATAAAAATAAACATGTTATAAATTCTAATAGTAAGATAATGAGGTATAACATACATCCGTATCACTTTGAATTGGAAATATGCCTTGCTTGTAAAATGAGTTGAGCATATCCCACTTATGTTGAAGTGTACCTAAATGTTGGATACAGTTAATTTATCATTTAATATCTAATTTTGGGTGTAGTGATAAATTCTTATACCTGATAGGCTGATGGAATCATAGAATCGCTATAACGTCATAAACTAGATGGCTATATGTAATTTAACTCTGATATTATCAATTCAGGGTCTCAGTGGTCAACCTCTATCAGGGCCAGATATTGGTGGGTTTGCTGGGAATGCAACACCAAAGCTTTTTGGAAGATGGATGGGAGTAGGTGCAATGTTTCCTTTTTGCCGTGGGCATTCTGAAGCTGGAACTATCGATCATGAACCATGGTCATTTGGAGAAGAGGTATGTCCTCATCAGTGAAGAATTGTATCTGCTTAGAGCTCATCTCCTGATTTGTAAACTTTATACTATAGTAATGAAACTATGAAAATTGTTGATATCATACATATTCATTCAAGCCGGAGAGATCAGATGGTAATAAATGATAGGCTGAAGTTTTCAATTTAGAAAGAAGAAAAGGATCACATGAATAATTGCTAAAGAGATTTTATTTCTATCTTGTTTTCATCGAGTTATGCGAGCACTTTATGCTTTCTAAGAAATTAAGTGCATTGCATATTTGATGTTACTGCCAGGTAAGTGAAGTACATAACCTTCTGAGCTAGGTGCTAAGTTATATCTAAAATCTAATTTAAATTTAAAAGCACCAACCCTTTTATGGAATTAAGCTTTCACGTGTAGATCTTTTTTTTCATCTTTTATTTGCTTATGTCACAACTACTAACCATTCACATTTGTACTAATAGTGTTTTTTTTTTGATCGCTTCCATTGCTTCCACAACTTATTATAGTTTAACATATCCAATTTGATATAAATACTTTCATTTGTGAAATCTGACACAAGCACTATATGATTTCAAATGACTTGGCAGAAGACCACTTGTTTTCTTGTGAAATTGCTAATCTTCATTAGTTTTAGTTTAAGCTTATTATATTTTACTAGATTGATAATGCCAGTTTGTTTTCCTGCCCCTTGATAAAGGTAAAAGCTTCTGTTGGATTTAGTGGCAGAACTTCTATTGATTATTGTCTTCACTGTTGTGTTTGTCTCCAAAAGTGATGCCTGAAAGGGTGGTGAAACTGGTAGCAAGAGTTGAACACAATGAACAGCTTTGAAGTACTTCTGATAGTATTAGCACTTTTTAATTTTTAATGTTATACCATTACTTCTCAAGTAATTTGATCTTCCTTTGTTTCTTAGTAGGGAATCATTCACGTTCTCATTTGTACCTTGCATGTCTGATAGGCTACGTCCATATATAGGGGGGGGGGTGCAGTTGCACCCCTAGGAATATGAAAAATTACATTGTAAAACCTTACAAACTTACAATTTACCCATAATTTAAAATATTTGCACCCCAACCTCTATAAACATGTAGCCCATTTGGATTTTAGTCCATTTAAGTTAGGAATTTAGCCCATTTATTAAAAATGTTGTTTTATAATATTATATTTTAATTTTTTGGTAAATAGATACTTGTCATCTGCCCCTATAAGAAAGTTTTCTGTATTCGCTGGTGGTTACTCCATTGTGTCACATTGGGTTACCAATTTTCATTATCCGCTTTTAAGACTCTGTCTACCTTGTGTTCATAGTTCGTGTTTATGTTCTTTGTCTTCCTAGTTGAAAGGTACAGTATTGTGGTCGGTCCAATAAACTTTATTGAAATTCTTTCTTGCACTCAGTCTAGTAGTAATCCGAGTAAAATTTCCTTGCATTTTCGTAGATGCTATCCTGTTCATGGTTCATGAGAAAACTATCTCAAGAATGCTGCTTGGTGATTTAGTAGTATGAAGTATGAACATGCTATTGATTCACTAAGGACACCTGTTGTAACTTGAGTAATCTTTAATACTTACAGTTGTAGTGGACTTCTCTAATTGATTCTCTTCATGAGAATGCTTAGGGTGCAGTAAACAAGGTTCAAACTGAAAACACCAGTTGATATAGGTAAGGGGAACCACTACAGCAACTGCAAATAGAAGTAGTTCTTCTTACTCATTATACATGTAAATACAGTATATACTTCCACATTATAGGTGATGGTTTGACAAGTTTTGAGTCTAGGTCTGCTGTTACTTTGTCTGATGTTGTACTTAACTCAATGTCTGATGGACAAATAGGACCCTAACACCTTGTATTCTAAGACCCTGCTGGCTACTGGCTGTTATGTTTCCACCAAATGTCTAACCACACAATGCATCCTATGGGTGATAGTGTCACTAGTTTTGAGGCTAGATCTGCTGGTAATTTCATTGTCTGATGTTGTAGTTCACTTAATGATGGGAAAATAAGCCCCTAACAACTCGTTGGCCAGGATCCTCTTGAATGTTGTCTATTGTGTTTCCACCAATTGTCTTTGTTATATAGTGCACTTTTGAGGAGAAATGGCTAGTTACTGAAGGCCACAGCCTAGGACGGTTACCTAACTTCTTAAGATATTAATTTATGTTCTGCTGATCTCGATTAACCAATTTGGATCTAAATAAAGGTTTTTGGCCCACGGGCTGCGTCTCATGAAACTTCCAATCAACAAGTAGAGAAATCGGACAATGTTCAATCACCCTGATTTAGAATAGGAGATTTTTTTTAAAAAGACCGTTTTAAAAACATAATTAGCAAAATCGATCGTTTTCTAAATAATGAGCAAAATCGACCTGTTTTTGGCCACATCAAGGCTGGCCAAAAAGATGTTGATTTTGGAAAAAAATCATCTTCAAAATACACGAGACTTCTAGTCCCTTGTAATTAGCAATTGTTAATTATAAAAGTGATTAAGCTCAGAATATACACGAGACTATTAGTCCGGTGTATTCATTCAAAAACCCCATTTTTGTAACATAATCTTACTCTTGCATCCATTCATTAATTTGAGAAGAAAACTACCAAAATAGAACAAACAATATCAAGATCCAAAAGCGATCATATTCTGATCCTTTCCACGTTTTAAAAAATAATTAAAGATTCAATAGGAATGATCAAGACCATTAAACAACCAACAAAATCATATGAAACCGCGGATCAAGAAATTCAAGAATCGAACCTCTCCCGAAGCGGAGTCATCGGCGGTCCTTTGTTCCTCGTAATCTTATCATTGCTAACAACACCAACGACGAGCTCGTCGCTGAGAGCCCTAGCTTGTTGCAGCGCGTTGCAATGCCCGTAGCATGTCGCAGCACTTGTCCATGTAAACCATAATCAGCTTCTTTCGAAATCACAAGGAAATCATTGGAAGAATCGCTGGGGCAAAACCTAACGAGATCATGGCAACGATGGAGGCGAGGACAATGTCGCCGATGACGAACGCCTTGACGAGCTTTTCTCTTTCGATCGACGCCATGGATCGAAGATCTAGGGTTAGGGTTTCATTTTATCAACTTTAGCTAGAGAATTCTCAAGCTCACTCCAAAGAGAGAAGGATACGGGGATTTAAAGGCCGTAGGTTTTGATGTGGATATGTAGGGCCTAGTGATGGGAGATGTGAAAATATGGGTGTGACGGTAATTTTTTCTTTTAGAACATATTTTGGGGTTTTTGAATGAATACACGAGACTAATAGTCCCGTATATATTCTGAGCTTAATCACTTTTATAATTAGCAATTGCCAATTACACAGAACTAGTAGTTCCGTGTATTTTAAAGATAATCTTTTTCAAAATTGACCTTTTTGTGGCTAGCCTTGATGACGTGGCCAAAAAGAGGTCGATTTTGCTCATTATTTAGAAAAACGGTCGATTTTGCTAATTATGTTTTAAAAAGGTCATTTTTTTAAATTATCCTTTAGAATAATATCAAGCTATATAAATATGCAATGTGAAGTAATATTTTATGCCAATTGCCGTCCTGGCATTAACTTCTATTTTCAACAAGAGAGTCAGCTTTCAATTCTAAGACTGCTTTATATTATAGTGTGAAGAAGTATGCCGCCTTGCATTGATGAGGCGCTATCGGCTTATGCCTCACATATATACTCTTTTTTATATGGCGCATATGAAGGGCACTCCTGTTGCAGTTCCATCTTTTTTTGCAGGTAGTTGTTATTCTTTAACCCGGTTAATACATTTTGTTTGATCAAAATACTGATGCTCTACTGCTCTATGCAGATCCACGCAATTCAAGTTTGAGAACAGTTGAAAACTCTTTTCTGCTGGGATCACTTTTAGTTTGTTCAAGGTACTCTAGCGCACTATGTTGGATTCGGAACTATGAAGAATTTTTCCCTTGCCCTAGAACATCATGCTTTTTTACTATTGTAGAACTAGCTTTCATCAATATTAACAATCCTTGATAGAAGTCTCAAGATAGCATACCTTGTTACTTTTCTTACCTTCCCTAATGAATCTTACCAAGAACTTGAACTTGCCCTAGTAATCTTGTTATGTGATCAGCACAACACCCGATCAAGGATCAAATGAAGTATCACATATTTTACCAAATGGAACCTGGTTGCGGTTTGATTTTGGTGATGCGCATCCGGTAAGTCCACCGGTCATGCACAGATTGTCCATCACAGTTCATATTACTAATTTATTGATAGCTTTTTGTATTCTCTGCTGAAACTTTTTGTAACATTTCAGGACTTGCCAACTCTGTATCTGCAAGGAGGATCAATAATTCCTGTTGGACTTCCTGTTCATCATGTTGGGGAAATGAACCTTAACGATGATTTGTCACTATTTATTGCTTTAGATGATAATGGTAACTCATCTGACCCCTTGTCTATCCACGAAAAGTATCATTTGAACATTTTGATCCAGTAACTGTGTATCAGAGATTCAGAAGCATATCTAATGTGTTTTGCAATAGCCGGATGTTTTTCTGAGACCATATATTTCATTATTTCTATTAGACCCACACTACTGCAATTGTGTTTCCCAGGTAAAGCGGAAGGTGTTTTATTTGAAGATGACGGTGATGGCTATGGGTATGTTCACGGGGTTTTTCTCTTGACATACTATACCGCTGAACTGCAATCTTCAATCATTACAGTTAAAGTATCCAAAACAGAAGGGTCATGGAAGAGGCCAAAACGTGTTCTACATGTGCATGTTCTCCTAGGTGGAGGTGCTATGGTGTGTCTATATTTTAATTATTGGTAAAACAATTCTTGAAATCTCAACGGTCTCTAATATTTTCTTCTCTATGAAGATTAATGGGAAGGGTATTGATGGAGAGGAAATACAAATTACAGTGCCTTCAAACTCTGAAGTATCTAACTTGATACTAGCGAGTGAAAATCAGTACACAGTGCATTTAGGTAGGATTTTGTCCTCCATGATTCTATCATAATTATCTGGTGCTTCTTTCTGAAACTTAAGCATGTTTATCTAAATAATTTTCACAGCCAGAGATATGCATGTTTTTTATTGAATAAGTCATTAGTGTTTATATTATTGAAATCGGTCTTTAGGAAGGTTAACAGTGATGCTTATTTGTGGTAATATTTTATTACTCTTCTTTCTTTTTTGTACATACATCTCTTTTGTCCTTATCTGTAGCCTCATCAAATAAATTTCCTTATGATATAATTTAACATTCTACATGATAGATATTTGTAAACTCTGGATCATGGTGCTTTTTTTAAGACTCTGTTAGTCCTTTTAGTTAATTTTGCCTTATGGACCTTTCCGTGCCTACATATTTGATTCATACCCCATTTGCTGTCAACGTGGAATTTTTTATTATTATTATTTTAAATACTGCTCTTTGTACTTATATAGTGGATGTGGTATATGCAGAAAGGGCCAGACCTATCCCAGACGTGGATCGACTTCCAGGACAAAAAGGAATTGAGCTCTCAAAAACTCCTGTTGATCTAAAGAGTGGTGATTGGGCTCTTAAAGTGGTGCCTTGGATTGGGGGCCGAATTATCTCTATGACGCATCTACCTTCTGGTAACATCTATGCTCACAATTTCACTGTTCCTCATTTCAGCTTGTAATAGTTACAATGATAGTGCATATAGTGTTTACTTGATTCAGAAACTTCCCTGTCCAGCATAACACTGCAGCTTTCCCGAATGGATCCGAAGAGCATTTGTCTTGTTTATTTAGAGTTTTCTTCTTTAAGCTGGTATTTGTTTGTTACCCTATTTTGTCCGAGAATCATGACCACTAGAGGTTAAGTGGCTCTTTAAATGATCTGCAAGTTTGAATCCTGTAAACTAACCCTACAAATTATCTCATTGTAACATATAAAAGTCCTAGCTACCTCCACCAGGGTTTTTACAATACGAGGGATGATATCCATGGTTAAGGAATTTGCAAAGTTACTGAAATTTAACTACATAGAATCATTTATGGACAGTTCTACTTCAAAATCATGGTGATTTCGTTGACTCTGGAGTCTGGAACCATACAAATGGAAGCACTTAGATCAAATTCTAAAATAATCTGACTGCATAAACACACTTCTCCGAAGGCAGAGAACTATGTTTGTTTTCCCCTACTAATTTATGTTCTCAACTACAAAAGCATTATATTTTTGGAAACATAACCTCTATAGCAGGGTAAGATTATTACATTTAAATAGCAGGGTAAGATTATTACATTTACTTTTGGATTTCCATACGACTAACTTATTTCTAAGTTTCTAACCTTTTGTTTAAGTTCTCTCTTTGCATTTAGAACAAAATAAACGTACTACAAATTCAAGTACAAAACAGGATTAAACCAATAATAGTTAACGTTCAGTGCCGCACTTCAATTAATTCATAAGCCGGGGTACTTTCTGATATCTTAGTTCTGTGAAATCATGTTCTTATCCTTACAAGTAGATGTTAAAATGTGCAATTTGGCAGGTTTCTTATACAAAAGTTTATGTCTTTGGAGTTTAAACTATCTTTAGCTTATGGCTCTCCTATGTAATGGTTTTTCCAGGGAGCCAGTGGCTTCATAGTAGAGTAGACATTGATGGTTATGAAGAATATAGTGGTACTGAATACCGTTCTGCTGGATGCTCTGAGCAATATGCAGTTCTTGAGTAAGGATATCGTATTTGTGATTTTTTTTCCTCAAGCATCAAGTGAGTAGCAACATCAATAATCTATTCTGAGAAAAGATTGAATATATAAGTTTTTGATCAATATTTATGAATATGTTTACTTCTCTTGTGATTTGACAAAGGTTCCAACTCTAGTTAAGACTGTATGTTAAATGAAATATATGCCCTGGATTTGTAGGAGGGATCTTCAACAGTCGGGAGAGGAGGAATCGCTTTTATTAGAAGGGGATATAGGCGGTGGATTGATTCTTCAACGCCAGATATCAATTCAGAAAGATGCTCCGGGAAACCTCAAAGTGGATTCTAGCATTGTAGCTCGTAGCGTGGGAGCTGGTTCTGGAGGATACTCAAGGTTGGTTGATAATGCTAATGTATCTGAATAAGTAATGATGTTCTAGTAATCAATCTTCTACATATCATTCCTTCTTCCATCTAATATGATGAACATGCAGATGATTAGGTATATGATATTAGTTCCTCAATAAGTTTCTTGCACAAATTTGCCTTTTGACTTTAAGCAGATGAGAGGATATTTCAGAATCTTAAATAGTTTTGTTCTGGGCATGACAGTTTTCCTTTCTGATCTTTTTTCTGAGAGGATATTTCAGAATCTTAAATAGTTTTGTTCTGGGCATGACAGTTTTCCTTTCTGATCTTTTTTCTTTTCTTTTCTTTTCTTTTTTCTTTTTTTTAAAGACTGGTTTGCTTGCGAGTACACCCAACATTCACTCTCCTTCACCCAACTGAAGTTTTTGTTACTTTCACTTCTATCAATGGTTCAAAACATGAAGTCCGCCCAGAATCTGGTGAACAAACTTTTGAGGGGACTCTCCAGCCCAATGGTAACTTCATTCATCCCTTGTCCTTTTTTTTATTTTTTTATTTTTTTATTTTTTAATACTATATGCAATTATGCATGAAGTTCTGTAATCAGACATATGCCTAAGTTTCTCTTATCCTTTTCTGAATTTCCAGGGGAATGGATGTTGATCGACAGTTGCGCAGGTCTCAGTTTGGTTAATCGTTTTGATTTGAGTCAGGTAAACAAATGTCTGGTGCACTGGGGCACCGGAACAGTTAACTTGGAGTTGTGGTCTGAAGAGAGGCCAGTTTCTGAGGAAACTCCTATCAGAATTTCACATGAATATGAAGTGAAACAGCTGCCGTAGCTGTCCACCATATTATCAGATCTAAGGCCATTCATGATTTTGCATTTGAGAGACATCTCATTGTTTAGATTGTATTATCTTATATAAACTGGAAACGGGAAAAAAATTAGGGACGTGTACATTTAAAGTTATGGAGATAATTTTCAGTGTTGTATCTAAGATCTATTTTTGCGAGTTATGTGGTTTTTATTGTGTTCTCAAGAATAGGTTCCTGCGCATCATAACTGGAAGATGCCATATTGAGTATAATTTGGCCTATAGCCTTGTTTTCTGCTGATCCCGTTATAGATACCGGCCCTTGAGATCTCTCCTAAATCTGAAACTTTTGTGAGGAACATAGCAGGAAATAATGGCTCATCATTTGATCAACCTATTTATGGTAGTTGCCCTAGTATGTATTCTTGTACAAGCACTGTAGTTTGGTCTCTGGTTACCGAATTGACTGCAAACGGGATCTACTCTGCAGATTTTGTATGCGCACAAGTATTTGGGATACACTTTGTAAATCTTGTCCTGGTGCTGTTTTCTTTTTCTTTTCTTTTGTTTTATATTATAAATTTATTGTTAGTCATCTTTGAACTTCAGTTTGCTGTCCAAGAAACCTTCATTGGCGTCGACGTCGGGTTACTCCAGAATCGTTTGACTGGCATGATTTTTGCAGTACAAGACAGTTCGTTGTTGGCTTGAATTTATATGTGAAACAAATCAAATCTTTTTCAAGGATAGACGATGGGTATAACAGATCCTGTGTTCCTATATAATCAAGGATCTAATAGAACGTGTGAAACAATTTACAGTATCAACAAATCATTGAACGCCCAGCACATGGTTCCAAATTGCACTGCATACTCAATTACTTGCATTGTGGAACAAGGGAGTGTCTAAAAATCGAAAATACAGAATTCAAGAACAAGTCTCACTTTAATGAAGATTTCAAGGGAAGGTATGCCCCAAGAAACTGCAACATGAACCGGGTGAAGATTAATAAATAAATGTTTTAACCTCCGTCAGTAGAAAGAGTCGCAGAGCAAGTCCAGCAGGATCTTTCACATGTGATGGAAAATTAACATGACAAAACATCCGCTGAGTTCTGCACATCAGAAGTTTTTATTTACAATTTTTCTATATAAATCCAAAATTAAAATAAATACAACACTCATGGTGAGTAGTATGAACACTCACCATCTATACCTAAACAATGGCTAAATCTACATTCATCACCCCTTAATATAAAGAAAGATGAAAAACTTGTGGGTTTTACTCTCATGCAATTAGGAAGCCTTTCTTTCATCAAATACAGCAAGAAACGCCACCGGCAGCACTCATGGAATAATCAAAATAACTCGGGTCATCAAAGGACCAACTGAGCCAAGTTTGAAATTTTCATCAGCTTATTAACTAAGCAGCAGTTCAAATGAATCCCATGTTCTAAGTAACAACGGTCGAATCTTTCGCTTGCCTTGACATCAACAGAGCTAGATGCAATGCATTTTGTTGGCAAAGTCTCAACGGATTCTTAAGCACAGTAACTGTTGCTTTCTTTGCTCCCAGCACAACATGGGCAATATTGTAAGAATCACCTCTTTCAACTGCAAACTGCCACTCCCTTGCTGATATCTCGAACCAATCTTTGCTCGCATATCTCGTGGTCTTCACCTCAACAAACTCCCTACTGCTTCCTTCCACTCCAATAATCATATCATATGGTAATCCAGTCTCAGCTCCTTCATTAAACTCCCTACTGCTTCCTTCCACTCCAATAATCATATCATATGGTAATCCAGTCTCAGCTCCTTCATTAACCCATCTCACATTTCCAGAACCAAGTTTATTGACAAAGTATTTATATGCAACTACCTCTCCTGACCTTCCAGTCTTCCATAATTGACTCTCACCATTAGTTTGATAACAAAGCCTCACCCTTTCTGGGGCAGAGACCAATAATGGGTCACTCAATTCATTGTTTGGTTCAGAACTGAACAAATTAAACTGGTTATTCATCCATCCGGAATCTTGAAATCCTATCGCGGTCTGTGCAGTATTGCTCTCCTCTATAATCCATTCTCCGTTGATCTCATCTGGTAGTGGGACATCCTCTGTGAGAGGAATAGCATCAAGAGCTTTGTTGGATACTTTATCTTTGTGGAGGGATGGGGGTCCACATGGTTTTGTGAGGTGATAATTTGCTTGAGCATAACTCATATCTGGGGCATTTTTCCAACCTGTAGGTGGCCAATTTGAATTGCTGCCCGGTTTTTTCTCAGCTGTTGAAGTGTTATGATCAACATCCATGGAAGCAAGGGCTGGCTGTGGGTCTTCAGCCTTTGGAAGTTCCAGTAATGATGAAAAGCACCATTCAGGTTCTTCAGTGGGTAGCATAGGAACCTTTTGACTATTTAGTATAAAGAATTCTGTTTGCTCACTGGTTGACCCTGATTCAGCCATCGTTGTGACCATGTGAAGGAAATTAGCAAAATGTAATTCAGTGGACCCGTCGAAGAAAAAGCGCGAGAGCTCCAAGAATATGGAATGAGAATCTGCTGTAAGGGTTGTGTACAAAGTGCTTCCCTGCAGAAACAGCAAATGATTAAGCTTCACCAATTTATGTGAATTTATTTAACAAGTTCTGATTAAAAATTATATCATTTTTCCCTATGCTAAACATGACAGTGAAGAATCACGATCTACGTAATAGCAAAAGAATCTAACTTCAACTTTGAAATTAATTTGTCTCATATCCTCTCAAAGACATTTTAAAAAGTAACTATAGATATGCTCCATAACATCCGTTGTCAAACACAAGCAAACCCCTAAAATATTTTAGTTACGGCCTTTGCAGTCAGTTATGACGCTGTGGAAATGTAAATGTGGGTTTCAGTAACTCCATTACGCTTGAAACAGAACAAAACAAAGCCATTGCACGAACTCATTGCAGAATAAGAACAAGGCTGAAGAAGTAAGAATAAAAGCTCGGCCACCAAGCATCTGTGTACATAACCAAATACTATTCACCCACAAAATCATCAATTATCTGGCATCTAGCAAAATGTTAGTCATGTAAGCAATCAAAACACTTAGATGCAAACCTGCAGAAGGCAGCAACATTCAAATCGTTTCTTCGAAGTCCTCCCTCGTCTTTTAATACAGTTTTTATAAAATAACTTGTCAGCTACAATTACTTGTAGCTGGCTAAGCTTCTCAAATCCAAGCTGCTTCAGGCTGAGATACAAGTCTGGGTAGAGCTTATAAATATAACGTTGAGCATATGGAAGAATCCATTTTATCAGAGAAGCTTTGTCTCTGTTGTCATGTGTACCATAGAATACTGCTTCACGGGAAACAACCTGCCAAGCATGCATCATTTAGTTGCAAAAAGTTAGAAAAGGAAAAGGAACTCAAATAGGAATTGTTTCCTTGGATAAAACATGCATACCTCTGAAAGAGCAGGAACACCTAAATCACGCATTAGTGCTGCAATTCTTCCACACAGCTTTTCCTCGTCTTCTTTACTGAGTTCACCAAAGTGTAAGAAGTCAATACCATCATAATGCTTAAATTGGTGCTTCAATTCATCATCATCAGGCCAGCATATAAGACCAAACGAAGGATGGAGAGACACCCACTTATCCTGCAACGTTGGAAGCACTGTATTTTCCACTTTCAGAAGATTCTCTTTCAAGTCAAGAATTTCTCTTGACTTAATCAACCCTGAATTTAGATCATTGGCCCATTTCACAAACACCTGAAAAACCTGGAAAAGGCCAAAGGAGAAGTATATGAAGACCTGAACCAATAAATATATGTGAAAACTACCTGGGCATATTGTTCAAAAAAAAAAAACCACGTCCATTATTACTAGGCCACAACCAGCATGAGTGTCATTATTCAAAATTCAAACTATGTAACACCAATAGTAACAATTTAACTACTCAAGGAAAAGAAACATGTCATGTGAACTCATTGTGCACCAAAAAGCCTCAACTAGTTAGTTTATGACCAAAAAGCATGTTTACATTTTGCATTTTATTCCCCAAAAATTTGAGATTTCCAAGCATAGGAACTTCTGCCAAATATTTTCACATATGTAGTTCAGAATGGCATGGATCATTAACAAAGATATCCAAGTATGACTATGACAAAAACCCAAGAAACATCTTGGGCTTTGCCTGGAAGAAAGGAAATTCCCAGAAACAAATTTGAGAACCGCTGTATTTAAATGGGTAATAGCTTACCACATGAGCTGCCTGAGAAGGTCGTGCAGCGGATGATAACTGTAATAGTATCTGAAGGTAATTACCGGATGGAGGGGTTTTCGGCACCCCACATACATTTACAAAAAAGTCATAAAGGCATGGGTAGATAGTAGCCAATGCCTTGCAGGGAACAGACTCGTTGTCCTTAGTTGACGAGCAAAAAGCTAGCAATTCCTTAGCCTTGTCCACACAACCAGTTGGATCATACCAATACAATTCTTTAGGTGACAAAAATATACCAGACAATGCGTCGTTGTGTCTAGAGGTACTGAGGAATGGAACAAATATGAAAGAACTTGATGTGAATTCTTCGTCAATCTTTACATTTGATTTAATGAGTCCATCACAGATGAAACCATAAAACTTTGACATTTGAAGAATACTGAAACAGAAATAATAAATAAGTGTTAAATAAAAAATGAGATTTGTAAATAAAAACAACATTACAAAAGGAAAAGTTGAACAATTAAAAATAGCTACTGATCTTAGCAAGCATAAATAAAATAACAGATCATCAAAATAAAAAACCAACAAATACAGCACAGCTATTAGAGATAATACATAACAAGATGCTTTATACTGTATTGAGTTTTTGGTGCAAGTAGTCTCATTCAAATTTTTAATTAGACAATGTCCAGGCATAGACATTATTTAAAGACAACAATGTTTTAAATATTGGATATCAGGGAAACATCGGATGACCAAAATTAATATTGGATTGCGGATATTAGGGAAGTATTGGGTAGGTGGTAAATATCGGAATGCCATAAAGGATGTTTGCATATACAGTATAATAATGTAATCCCAACATACTTAATGAAATATAAGCATACAAAATGTAAATAATATATGTTTAGGATCACTAATTAACCTTGTAAAACAAACAAAAGTACAAATAAACATTACAACGTTTCATCTTATTTTTATTTTAGGCCAAATGTCATTTGCTAGTGGGAAAATCATGGATATCTCACCTAAAAATTGCCAAACGCGATATATTGTTTTGTGACAAGCCAAATATAAGGATATATCGGCCAACATATCGGCTGATATATCAACCATATCGGGAACATTGTCCAAAATAGCCAAAAAACGGTAAAGGATATTTAGAGATCATATCAGTCGCAGAAAGCCCTATAAAAAGATATATCAAGCGATATATCGGGTCATGTCGGGGATATTTAAATCAGTGAAAGACAGCATAGGTAACAATAGGACTACACCATCTCTATCTGGTAAGGCAGACCTTACTGGTGAAAAAGCAGTGGATTGGTCATGAAGGGGTTGTAGGTGCAAGAATGGCCTATCGCCCTTGTTCAAAAAGAATAAAATAAGGGGAAAAACATGATAGAGAATACACTATATAGCTTCATGTGTATGGAGTCTATGGACAAAGTAAATATCCACTCTATGTACCTAGAAAGGATAATGTTATTTACTGAGCTAATTCCCTTTCCATGAAGTAATGATCGCAATACTTCCTACAAATGCACTTTTGAATTTTTACTCATCAATATTTTACCTGTAGGACTATCTCTCAACATGGATAAAGAGCTCTGAATTATGGTGCAGAGCCTCATCTAGCTATATTGAGAGTCCAATGATGCAGAATGAGTACCTACTTGCAAAACGTTAAATTAAAGTTATTTTCCTTGTCACCATCTGTTGTATTTCAGTTCTTCGAATTTCCAGGCTGGGACACAGCATCATCTACATCATGTGGGTTCAAGGTGAAATGTTGATTGGTTGTGTTACTTGTGTACCAGGACACAGCTAAAAGTAACAGATAATTTGGTTGATCTATTTTTCATATTTGACTGCTGGAATCCTCAACATGCAACAGGAGGGCTGAAACACGATTTGATGTACAAGCATCCAACACAAAAACATTAAAAGAAAACGGAGGATGGAGGTAAATGCCTAGCTCTGGCAACAAGAGAAAGTCTATCCACGTGTAAAGTATCATTTACAACCGTCTTGTAGTGACCCAAAGTCAATGATAATTAATCCATTTGCAACATAATATATATACTAGCATATGAACTGCTGAGGTCATCTTTTATCTCAAAATTATTACCTTGATAGCTCATTTGGCGGTTCCCTGATAAGTACAGGAGTTGCATGCACAAAAATTCTCAGGTTTGTGTTTTCTTTCAATTTTATTAGGTTATCAAGTTATACTTTTATTTCAAAACGGAGATTTTGGTATTAGCAAAATAGAGCGAAACTGATCAACGAGGACATAGTCAAGAGGAATACACAGCAGGCATATAACACATCGTATACAAAGTCTCTGGATCGTGGAAAAATATGGTTGGTTTTCATTCAATCCTCAATCCGCAGAGGTTACTAAAGGATAAAAAGGCTCCTTAAGTAAGGAACATGATAGATCCCTCTTCCATCTAGGAGAAGGCTCCTAACCAAGGAACATGATAGAATTCTCTGCGATTTATGGAACTGTTTAAATGAGTAGGAAAATCCATTCATAACGATCATAGAATTTGATGACCTCCACATATGTAACTCCGGTTGTTCCACTGTAAAAGACTCTTCCAATGAGACTAATAAGATAGGATCGCTAGTAAGCTAGTAAGTTTGTCTTAGCAGCTCCAGAAGTCTAGAAATGCCTGTCTTCCGTTTATTAAAAAAATTAATCCCAGCAATTAAGATTTAAGAGCTTAATACTACAAAGCCGTAAAATATCATCTCTCTCATCACATAAAGAGGAGTTTAATGATTTGGGTTACTTTTCCCTCTTTATATGCATAGGACAGAGGCATACACTATTTATGAATTGATCTATTGTTAATGAATTGGTTATAAAAAGAAATTTAAATGGATAGCCTGCTACAGCGCCTATATACTGTTAGATCAGAGAGAGAAAGATAGGGAGGATATATCTGCTACGGCGCTGCTCAGTAGCGGTCACCAATCTCTACTCAACTAATGGATGGATTATTTAGATATTAATAAAAAATACTAACAGTTCCTAAGTGTTGTAGCAGGCTCTCTTTCTCTCACAACTCATTCATTAATTGAGTGGAGATTGCACTACTGACACATTGGGACATAAAGAGGAGTTTAATGAATTGGGCTCTCTCTATCGAGCGACAAAAAGAGGAGTTTAATGAATTGGGATATTTTCCCCTTTTTTATACATAGGGCACAGACATATGCTATTTATGAATTGGCCTATTGTTAATGAATTGATTACAAAGAGAAATTCAAATAGATAGCCTGATACAGCGCTTAGATACTATTAGATTAGAGAGAGAGAGAGAGAGAGAGAGAGAGAGAGAGATTACGACAGCGCTGCTTGCTGCTGTCAGTCATGCAATCTCCACTCAATTAATGAATGAGCTATGAGAGAAAGAGGGAAAGGCATAAAGCCTGCTACAGCACCTATAGAACAGTTAGTTAAATATTCCTATTATCTAAATAACTCATTCATTACTTGAGTGGAGATTGATGAGTTGTACTAAGCAGCGCTGTCGCAAGCTATATCCCCTCTCTTCCTCTCCCTCTCGCTCTTGCTATCTCATCTAACAGTATCTAGGCGTTGCAGCAGGCTATCTACTTTAATGGTGAAAATCATATGATAAGAACGAATGACTAGCCAACCACACCCAAATAGTGCATGAGCAAGTATCAATATTCAATAGTTTGTTCAAGAAATCATTTAGCTTAAAATTCCAAAAATAACAGGCATATGTAATTTGTTATCCAAAGCATGTAATTGATGTGCATATACCAGTGTCCTATGCATAAAATTCAAGCAAAAGATACGTACTTGCCAGATCGCATTGAAATTGTCAAAAAAAATTTGCATCATAAGGACCTTAGAGCATGCGATAGTGAAACCAATGAGATTATTCTCTCCAAGCAAGAAAAGGGAAATTATATTTATGAACATTCAAAAGCCAAAGACTTAAAATGTTTTAAAAAAATACCTCGCCGTACAAGGAGCTTTAGACGTTTTCCAGGAATGAAGAACTCTCAGAGCATCATCTACTGATACTTCAGTCTTGAGCCCAATATCCTTCAGAAGCAATTTGCTTGTTACCTGAAAGAGCATCATCTACTGATACTTCAGTCTTGAGCCCAATATCCTTCAGAAGCAATTTGCTTGTTACCTGAAATGGATGGTAACAAATAGAGCATGTTCTTGAGCCCAATATCCTTCAGAAGCAATTTGCTTGTTACCTGAAATGGATGGTAACAAATAGAGCATGTATTAGAGAGTGGATTTAGGGTGGTGGTGGTTTGGGGATGAGGAGAAAGCACCATATTTGCAAAACAGCAGAAACCAAAAATAAACATTATTATGCAAGATAGGAAAGCTTTGGTGGTTGTGATATTCTCGGGGTTCTAAGTTATTCAACAAGAGCTATCAGGTTTGGCTCTTTGTACAACTGACATGAGTTTGCACTGAAACCAGTGTAAAGTGGTGATAAAAATCAACCTGGTTACGCTATAAGGAGGAATACATGTTTCTGGGTAGGAAATTGGTCATCTACGGTGGGTACTCAAAGGCTTCCTGTTGAACAACAAAACTTGAGTTCTTCTGTAACCCAACCTAATGGACTCTACAGATCCGAAAATATACAGACATCCTTGAGTGGCTTCAGATATCAAACTCAAGTTTGGAACCATGACACATGAAAACCACAAACTTTCCTGGTTTGAACATGAAAACTTAAACTGAATACAGACAAATATACCAACAAGGTTAAAGATTTGTTAAGACTCAAACTAGGATAAGACAAGACAAGACTGGCTTAGACAAGAATCATTGTCATTTAGATGCCTTTATAGTAATATAATTGTCAAAGATGTCTCCCATGCATTAAGTTTTTAAAGTAGATTGCAGTATAGTAAATATTATGATCATAATAGTTATAAACATTGTCACTAAGGCCTGCTCAGTGGTAAAAGGAAGGGGTTGGGGAATGGCATGTCCAAGTTTAATCCAGCTACAACCTTCATTCAGATGATCAAGAAGAATGATAGCAATAATGTCATAATAGAAATGAACAAGAACAATGGATACTGTATTACACCTGGGCTTGAGACTATCGTTCAATATTCAAATGTGCAATTAATGTATACGCTGAAGACATAGGTAGTTACGTCATTCACTGAGGGCTGCTAAAGGCTACTTAAGAAAACAAGATCATGCCATAGCTTGTCATTTTAATTTTCCGTAATAGGTGAACATGCCTGATTCAAAATTTGACATCTTCTATCATCATTTTTATACTTTATTGGCTTAAGAACAATGACAATATAGAACCCCCAGGTTGCATAAGCTTCAATCATATGACCAAAAGACTACCAATCAGATGCATATTTGCGTACCACGGCAAGCTCCTTTCATCCCAAACAGCTGCCACTTATTCATAGAAGATTCCCATCAACTAGTGAAGATTTATTTCAATAGAATTGATGCACTCTAAGTCAACTAAATCCAGATAATCATAATGATGTACATCTTGGAGATGAGATGCTTAACTAATAAAACATGGTCTGCAAACTGCTCAACAGCTCGAGTGATCAACTAACAAAACTACCAGATCAGTACTCTCCCTCCAATCCTTTTACTTCTCATCACTATAAAGTATCAACAACACCTACGCCTTTTCCCCATCAAACAGGATCTGTTAGACTTGTGAATATAGAATATGGGCATGACAGGACACATACATGAATATGAAATATTTTGAATACAGGTACAGTGAGCACAGGCACACAGTAAGTGAAATCTTCACTTTAATAAACAAACATTCCATACGATTGAACAGACATAATATGTAGGAACAGATATTAGCTCTAATATTAACTTTCTTAAATCATTAAAAGTCAGGTGAAAAATGTAAACTAGTATTTATTGCCACATATTATAAAAATTAAAGGTGCGTCAGAAGACAAGTGAAAGAAATATCATGTATACATGCCAAGCTTCATGTCCTGTACATGTCACGCTATATCAAGGTCAGATTCGGAGCATGTCTACATGAAATTTTGACATGTCAAAAGACAAGCTACCAGGTAAAGAATCCATCTGATCAGTCATGCTGATTTAGCTTGTAATATCAAAGGAGCATATGCCCAAATTTCTCGTGGTCTGGGAAAGTGTCTAAAAGGAGGAGCAAGATTATAGCATTAATGTGTGCATGCATGCTTTTTCCCGTGTGTCTGTGACACCCATACATATGTTTTTCCCCCTGGTGGTGGTGGTTGGGGGAGTGGGGGTTCCCTTGGTTAGCAGCCATCATGTGTTATTCCTTTTGTAGCAGACAAATAATAGAAGATCGGCAATCCATCCATGCCCATATAAGCCATCATGTGTTATTCCTTTTGTAGCAGACAAATAATAGAAGATCGGCAATCCATCCATGCCCATATAATATTTTCCTGACTAAACATGCAGATTTAGACAAATAATAGAAGATCGGCAATCCATCCATGCCCATATAATATTTTCCTGACTAAACATGCAGATTAAGCTTGCCTAACCAATGAGGCAAAGGAAGCAAACCCAGAAAATAAGTCTTCGAGTAAAAATGGAGTTTAAGGGACAGTGAGAAGATAAAGGGAAAAAAGGAGATTACATTTGATTACAACTAACATATTAGCATTTCTGATTTGCAATACAGATGAAACCCAACTAATGTTTCAATGACATATGAAAAATGGGGCAGCAGAGACTTGCAATATTGATCTTCAAGAAGAAAAAAAGGCAAATAAAGAAATATCCAATGGAAAACAACAGGATTAAATTTGACAGGTCAAGTAAACACTTCCAGGAACTCCTGAGTTAAAAGATCTTCTATATAAAAAAATCTTCTTTCTAATCCTATATACTGAAATAGGTCAGTATTTACCTTATTGTCCAATATCTACAAAGCAATAAGCTATCAAAAAAATGAGACACAAAACATGGCATGGAGCATTCATCCCAAAAATAAAATAAACATACAGATAAATAAAGATACAGAATATTGTAAAAAGACATAAACAACGATAAAGAATATTGCACAGATTGTCACCAACTGATCGATATATCAGCTAGTGGGCTAACCTGTGGAACAGCATATGGGGCCAGATTTCCTAAAATAGAGCGTACTTCATTACAGTCATAGAAAAGATCATGAGGGCGGTGAAGCTTCTTGTCCGTGCTAGATGCTACCCATTCAAACTCACGGAGACTTCTCATGAAAGAAGATTCGATGGTTCTCTTACCCTCATTGGTTTTGGAAACAAGGAAACTTTTTGAATATGCATTATAAGTATCATCCCACATTTTATCAAGAACTTCCAAAAGGTAAATACACTTTTCTCGACATCTTCTTGAGGAAAAATTAGACAGGAAATAAAGCAACTCCGGCGACTCCCAATCATTGACCGATGATGCCGCAATAGTAAGGTCTTCATCAGGCATCATAACACCGGAGATAATATATGGAATATCTGATAAATTCCTTTTGATGCAACTGACCTGCACAAAATCGGTGACTCCTAATTCCTGCAAAAAAGATCTCCATTTCTTCTCCCCAAATGATAATGACTGAGTAGTGGGATGCTTTAAATAAGCAACATCAACTTCTAGCCATTTGTTGTCCATATTACAAGTAAAAAAATCTATATCAACGGGATTCTTGTATTCCTTACCAAAGTGAACTGGCTCATCGACTGGACATTTATAACCATAGTTTGTCAGTACTACAGGTCTTTTCTGTAATTCTGATATTATGTCTTTCTTTTCAGAGGAACATCTTGCACAATCATATTGAAAATGAAGCAATATGAATGATAAATATTCAATCATCAAATGTCTATCTTCACCCATGTACTTATCACTAGACAAGGCTACTAAAATGTGACTTTTTATGACTTCATGTGCTGACATCTGTTGGACACCAATCTTGCATAACATGTGCACAAGATTATCGTTTTTGGCCTCTTCGTACGTGTTGTTGGCTGCTGAGAGAAGGAGAGGGTTGACAGTACGAAGTTTGGCAAATAGATTGTGAAATTCTGTGGCACTGTATTTATCTTCCATACCAACACTAGAACCATCACAAGGTAACCATATCGGACCATCGGCCACAGAACTGTATGAGCCATCTGAAAGTGGAACAAATGGAACTTTTCTAAGGGAATTAATCATGTCATGTTGTAATCGAGAATTTAAGGAATGATATCCAGAAGAAAAAGTAGATAGTGTCAAATGAAGAACACCAAGCCATGCTGAAAGCCATTTAAGGCCCAAAGACATAATACCGTCTTTTGAGCAACATAGAGAAGAAATAATGTCAATTAGGATTTTGGGTCCATAGTCCTGAACACCAAGTGCCTTTGCTAATGCATCAGACAATTCAATATCCTTGCTCAAATATCCAAGACCAAGATGTTTTTGAAGCAAGCTATCAGATACAAGCTTGCGAACCTGCTCATCCCAACCTCTGAGAACTCTACACGGCAAAACCCAACTCATGTCAGGACCATCCAAAAGTAAGCAATTTGACATACGCAATTTAGAAATTATCATCTGAGGAAGAGGGGAAAAGAATCCATGTACTTCCCCTCCCACAGGAACAAAACTCATAAAAGTGGTCACAGCTTTTCCTGGATATTGCTGAAAACAAGGAAGAGAACAGAAGGATTGCTCTGCAGTAACAAACAATGCAGGAAATTCTGTTAATAACCACTGGTTCCAAGCACTATTTCCGTCTACTTCTTCTCTCGAAGAAGGTAAAACAAAATCTCCTTGAAGAATGAATTTCAGCCCATAATTTCTTAGTGGAAGAAAAGCAAAAACAGGCTGCTGGCTCAGATGAGGCTTGTATTCACCGCTCTCACAATCCTCTAGTGTGAAAGCAACAGCTATCTCTGTACTTTGTACATCAGAACGAATGAGATTAGCTGACAACTTTCTACTGATTACTAGCCAAGTCATTGTGTCCTGACCATGAGAAACCTTTATAATGCCATTACCAAGGATCTCCCTTCTCATATCAACAAGCGTCTTATTGAGCATGTTCATAAATTTAATACACCTAAGCCGATGTAGAAATAGTAACAAGGATGGATGAAGATCTGAAAACATGGACATTATGGAGGCTACCCCTGTCACCTTAATTGTAGACCTGAAAGGAAGCACAATACAAGTGTTCCACTCGGTATCAGCAGTCGAATGACTTTCACCCAATACTAGTTGCCTGAACATGTCAACATTACAAGGTGGAATTACAGTAGGCAAAACAAAACCAATCTGACCATCGGTTATGTCAAATTTCACATGAAAACCATTTGAATGGATCTCCGGGGCATCTGTAACCTGGAGAAGAACCATTTTATCAACCATCTTATAAATAGAAAATTATTTAACTACAAAACCATAATGTATTAGAAAAATAAGCTTCACAACTTCACACCATTGTTTCAGCATAAAATCATAAGTTGAGGTCCGTGAAACTAGAGTCCATGCATGTCTATGAAGTAGCATCACATAGATGGTATTAACCAAGATGCAACTCAAATGCAAACAGAAATCAAATAAAACAATAAGCAAAATACATGGAATACATGAAACACGTAGCTGAATAAAACATTACATTCATCCTACCCGAAATACCGATTTGAACCCGATGCCTTTATGTCCAATATAACCTGCTCTTGATCCTTTCTTCGTTGAATTCCCGATATCACAAAGGGCTCTTATGTTCTCAGCAGAGAACCCCTTTTCATTGTTTAAAACAACAATACCAGACTCCTGAAGAATGAATACTAGCATGGGATCCCCATCTTCAGGATAATTATTGTCATCTGCATTTTGTACCTAGTGCATCAGGAAACAATCTAGTTAGAGAAGTGGATTTAGTTTGCTGAGATAATGATATGCTGAACCTACCAAGTCAAAAATTTCAAAGCGTAGACAAATAAAGAGATTTATAGGTCCACCAACTATGAAGCAATCCAAAGTAGGAAAAAAAACAAATATCAGTACTAGACTGTAATAGCAGCTTTGATATGATCTAAAGCTTGAACAAATTAATGTGGCGTCCTCTGCACTTTAAAGATGCAGTCCCACCGTTAAGCCATACTCAAACAAGTAAATAAAATAAGCCTAGTTCCATGAATAGTCATGTATGCAGTCCCACCGTTAAGCCATACTCAAACAAGTAAATAAAATAAGCCTAGTTCCATGAATAGTCATGTACAACGTAGACCTTTTAGTGCACCGTCAAACAAGTAAATAAAATAAGCCTAGTTCCATGAATAGTCATGTACAACGTAGACCTTTTAGTGCACCGGTTAGGAAAATTGATAATATTATAGTTAATGGAGCAAAACGATCTAGAGGCAGACCTAAAGGAACTTGGTTGGAAGCAATCGAGAAAGATATGATAATGCTTAGCTTAACAGAGGAGATGACCCATAATAGAGTGGAATGGAAGACTAGGACTCATGTAGCCAACCCCAAACATTTGGGATAGAGGCTTTGTTGTTGTTGTTGCTAGTTCCATGAATACAGGCATGAAAGAACAACAAGGGAGAAGTAATATTACATACTGACTAGAAATGTGACCTAAAGGATGACAGAAAGTAGACTTCAGACACCTGCTTAGGGTTGACATCTCGAGATGTTTTCCAGAAATTTAAATAAAGATGTGAAAGGTTACATGACTCAGTACAGTTTACTTTGCATTTGTTTGATGTCCTACACATGTATACACTTAAGACACAAACGTTTAAGTCAGCCAAACTACTGTAGTTACTTAGATCATATCATGAGCCAAACAAATAACATTAGCCTATGCAACTAATTACAGCTCCATGACACATGGAGTTCTTCTAAAGTGGCAGCCACAGGACAGGCCCTCCTTCAAATACAAAGAAACTACAATACAGGTATGTGAAAGCTTCCAAAAAGCATCAATGCAGAGCATGAATCTTCATAAAGAAAAACAACTTCAGCCACTCCCTATGGAGGAAGGGCGCTGACATTTAATAGGCGTTAGTCACAAAATGTAAGATATTGCAGAATTTCCCTGACAATCATCGATACTTATTGTATAATATTTAGTAAGACAAGCAAGAATTGAGGTTAAGGATAAAAGTAATGCATGAAGGATCTCTTTCAGAAGTGTTATGATGAGATGCCTACTGAAGAAGGAAAAAAAATACGAGTAGGAAAACACTTGTGATTTAGGTCATCATTTCAGTTTGATAATGGAATGATAACAACCTCAAGGCTACTTAGCTCAAGAAGATTCTGAGAACATATAAATGCCCCGTTAAGGTCCACACATCCTTCATTAATGGCAAACTATGATGCAAAGATATATTATTTGACAAGACTATTTTAGATGCTTACAAGCTCCAGCAGAAGATGTGAATCCTGTGAATATAGTTCTTGAGAAAGACAATGTAATGCTCTTCCAAGGCGAGCATGCTGCTTCTTTAGCATGCAGCTGTCAGAATAATTGAGATTAGGGTCCAGACCAAATTCTTCACTTCGAATAGATTCAATTATAGAAGTTGCATCTTGGATTACGCTATTTTCAGCAACACCATAATTCTTATTTACTGCACCATTAGAAGCTTGGCTTTTCCCATGACCATTCGTCAAAGTATGATCAATTTCTCCAACATTCTCTCCTGTAACCAACTCGTTCACATGTTCCTGTGAAGCATCAGCCACAATGTCAGAGATGTTATAACTGTCAGATACAGGTTTTTCACACTTGTCACTTGCATGAATCGAGGTTCCACCTGACCCTGAGCATGAAGTTCTACTTAAGGTTGTTGAGGAGATAAACAAATCGGCAGCAACTGTTGAACTAAAGTTGTGGAAATCATCAATCCATTCTGCTATTCCAAGTGATAATCCAATTTCATGAAGCATGAGACGCTGACTGGTTTGACTGCATTCACGCAAAATGACTGAATGTGCATCTTTAGCAACAGACAGAAGCCCTGAGACCAAGACATCGGCTCCAAAATTCCTGAATTCTGAAGGCAAATAGCCAAAGCACTCAAGGAAAAATCTAGAAACATTAACAACAGCGTTATTAATTCCGCATAAATTCTCAGATAGTGTACTGCAAATGTTTTCGGATTTATTTGCTTTTTTAGAACCAATGGATTGAATACCAATAGCTGAGACCTTATCACGAGTGTCTTGCTCTTTCAATGTGTTTTTATGCATCAAAGCTTCCCCATTTATCCTTGGTTCCATTGAATTAGTAGAGTTTGTCATTATGACATCAACTGCTCGTTGTACATAGCACTTGAGAAGAGTTACAGGAGAATTGTGCACTCCTCCATATAAAGACAATATAGACAACAATTTCAGAGCTACTTGGAATGGTGACTTTTGAATCATAGCCTCCAAAAAATCATCAACAGTAGCCGATTGATCAATTCTAATAAATTTTCCATCCACTGTGGCAATACACAATAATTCTTTAGCATCAACTTCATTTAACAACCAATCAGAGAGAGGCCCAAGTGAGGGAGCATATAGGACATCCCAGTGTGACCAAGATATCAAATCAGATAACATCGGTACCTTGAGTAAGCAGTCAATAGCATCTTTAGAGGAGGCATTACCGTGAAAAGAAATATGCTGGCCTGTTTCAACCTCTGTCCAATTACCTCTAAATGGAAGGTTTTCCTGGAAATGCGACAAGTTCCCAATCGAGTGTTTCCCCAATAATGATATGGAGTATAATGGAAGGTTTTCCTGGAAATGCGACAAGTTCCCAATCGAGTGTTTCCCCAATAATGATATGGAGTATAGGACACAGGTAGAATTATTGTAATCTTTCTGCCTCTTAATAAGGTCCAAAAAGCATTTCTCAGGTTCATCACCCGGTATGTGGAAACTGACAGTTGGGAATTGTTTATTGAGAACCAGAGAGATGTCAGAATTAGATATATTCCCTGTGTCAACCAGATTACTCTCAGCTTGAGATAGCAAAATCCCAAGCTGATGTTGAAGCATTGATGCATCCACACGAGATGGCTCAAGAGATTTTCCATTAAGGAAGTTATGCAGTTCAGTTGGAAGCCGAGAAGCATGATGTTCCAGAAAGCTAAAGAAATTTCCATAGCCAAGAGAACTGAATTCCTTGACAGAGTATTGAGTTGCCAACCATGTTTCGCAATCACACAGCTTTTTCAAGGTTGCAAATATTTTCCCAAAAGATAATTCTCTTTTACCAGGCATTGTGACATCAAGTCTAAAAAACTCTGCGACATTCTTAATGATATCATCAGCAGTAACTCCTATCAGATTGAAAAAGAAATTAAAAGGTACAGTTTAAACAATGCAAATAGCTTGTCATGTGGTAGTAAAATTTTAAATTACATCAAAATTCAGAACATAAAATACAAAGACTGGTATAAACGCAAATTTGGAAAATGTTAGAAAATGAGAATTTAGAAAAGAAAAATTAACCTAGTTGACTCGGAAAAAGAATAGCATAGTTGGTTTCACTGTAAAAAGAGAACAGCATAGTTGACTCGGAAAGAGAACAACATTAAACATCAATTCCTCTTTAAAACACTGAACAGTAAAAAGAGTACAACAAGTTCTCCCCAAAGGAGTTAAGAGTACAGCACATCAGGGGAAAGAATTTAGAAGAAATGTTTCCATGAAAAATGTTTGAGATAAGGGCAAATAACTCACTGTAACCAAGTTCATCGATGTCCTTGGAATTATTTGATGCTGAACTTTTTTGTATTGAAGGGTTGATCTCTACAATTTCAGCCGAAGGGGCAGAATCATGATCACCAAAGATTTGAATGGTGTCGTATATGCTGTCCAACAATCCACGTTTAATGCATGTTACCTGTAATATTCAGGTTAAAATTAAGAACAGAAATCTATATGTACAAGCTCAAACTAAAAGAAATTAGTTAAGCAAATGAAAGATGATGTGTGATAAGTCTCCAACAAACAAAAATTTGGAGGCGTGCACTGAAACTTAAAGATCTCACAAGACAAGGGAAACATGATGTGCTAGCAATAAAATTCCCATATAGAAAACAGAAAAGCATATCCAGGGAAGTATGACATGTGTAGTAAATACACTTGCTACATACAGCATTGCTACATGCACCTATAGGCTATAGGTAATTGAAGACAGATGCATCAACAATCAAAGAAAGTCCTTTAACCATTTTAATGTACATGCAGCCATTTTTATGGTAAGAGACTATGATGATATCATCCAACTACTTGATACAATGATCTGATCAAACCAGAAAGGACTTTGTACGCCACATCAGCAATGCACTAGCCAAGGGGCTGGGGTGGCACATCAAAAACACACCCCATCCAAAAAAATATAAAATAAAAACCTCTTCCACACACACTCCCACAGATGGTGAAGTTCTTAACACATAAAGAGTGCAACTAAGATTTTACACCCACCTATAAAGTATATGTTTGACCATCTATATCAATGATCCAAACCATTTGCAGCAGTCTATACATTCTAAAACTCTTGAAGATCAAAAATCACATATATTCAAAATCTATAGTATACATTACTCGTGACCTAGAAATGAACAGCCTGTAATGTTCTTAGACATGAATCATTTTCAGTCCCTTGAATTATAGAATAGAAAAACCAAAATCATATGATATTTTACCCATTTGGTTTTGTTGATGTGTCAATAATAATGAACAATTTGGATTAACAATACAGGTGAGCAAATGTGTAATTCCATAGATTAGTCATGTAAGCTTCTGTTTTATAACCTCGCCCTATATACATACATATATATAGTTTTAACAATTAATCATTTCACTTCAAAGGACGTTGTAGATATTCTGATCAAAGGATATGACTCTGTTATACAAAAAGCCAGCTCTTTGAAGAATATTGAATGTACACATACCCAAAGTCTCAGCTCAAGTGACAGCATATTCAAACAATATTCTCAGTCACAGAAGGTTTATACATACATATATATAGTTTTAACAATTAATCATTTCACGTCAAAGACCGTTGTAGATATTCTGATCAAAGGATATGACTCTGTTATATAAAAAGCCAGCTCCTTGAAGAATATTGAGTGTACACATGCCCAAAGTCTCAGCTCAAGTGACAGCATATTCAAACAATATTCTCAGCCACAGAAGGTTTTCCTTCAGTAGGCGAGCTTTGGAAGGGTTTCTTGTTGCATGCTTCTCTTCTTATGGGGAAGGAGAAGGGTATGAATCAACTATATAGAGAATTGGCATAGAAAAAAGTAAAAATAAGCATCCGATAAAGAAAAACTCACAGCAACATTTAGCAATCCAGCAGCAGGCAACATTGAGAATACCCTATGAAGCTTTTTCTTCCTTCTTTCTGTGCTTGATGTCATATAGAAGTTAATCATCATATCAAGGACCTGCAGAAATGGTTTAACAAAGAAAAGGTTTAAGAGCATTAGATATTCAACAGAGCAAAGAAAATAAGCAATTTGTCACTGGAGGAAACGCAAAGTTTCGGAATAGGGCTAGTTCAGAAAAACTGGACAGTTACTGATTACATATAACCTTTAATTGTGCATTAGTTTAATATAAATCAAGTCGTATGCTTATACGTCCGACTAAACAAGCATTCAGGGATGTTCATTAAAACAATGTGGAGGGTATTGTACAGCTAAAATAGGCATACCTCAGCAGTAGAATGTTCTCGACAAGCTTCTTTCCATGTTGTTAAGAAATCCTCTATGTTACCATCAAAAATAATAATGCTATTCGATTGCTTTTTGAAGTCGATCATTTCTTCCTTTCTCATAAATTTGTTCATAGTATTATCATGTTTCTCTCGACGCTTCCGTTTCTGCTTCTTAGTTTGTCCTTTAGTCTGTCCTTTTCTGGAAGACCTGCACCAAACATCCATTAGTTTGTCCTTTAGGGGTTTTTCGCCTGTTTTGGATTTCAGCCCAAGCCTTTTCATCTCTTCAGCTGCTGATGGATATGGACAATTTTGGCTACTGCCATTATCATGAGATGAAATCTGATGTGAACCAGAATTTACATTGTCACTGTTATCATTGTCTTCATAATCTTCACACTCGTCGTCAGAAGAATAATAAAAATGGACGTGCTTACCACCAGAAGCATTGGACGAAGAGGAAAACATCTTAACACGGTTAGAAATAGAATCAAAACGCTCATTAAGTATCTTCTTTTCTAAATGCATCTGTGCACTAGATGGAAATTCTGTAGAGTCCCTTTCTTTCAACTTATGTTTGCTACCCTCCAGGGATTTACTGAGAATAGTCTTTTCTGATTTCTCGGCTAGCCGGATGTACGCTACATGCAACCTACCAAAACAACTTAACTAGTAAATGGGGATTGGATTATACTTTTAAGTAACAAAATTCATTAAGGTAAACAAAAGAGGTAAAGGATTATGCCATATATTAAACACTGCAGTGTAGTCAGAGATGAACTCCACAGCTAACAGATTTATGATCCCTTGGTGCACGTAACATGGCATTATTTTTTATATAAACATGGTGTAAGAGCACTTCTACTCTTAAACTTGGAATTACGGATATTGCTGGTTTTGAATTACTCTGACAGGTGAATGTTTAATTCTACCTATCAAAGCATAATAAGAAGTAAGGTGCATAGCCCACTTCCACAGTATGAATCCATATAAATGGATAAAATAAACCTAGAGATAGAAAGTTAGCCACGTGTTAGTGGACACATATAGTAAATGAGAGAATGAAGTATACCTACTTCTGAATAAAAGAAAGTGTGCTGAGCAAGTAGAGAAAAGAACAGCCAAATTACAACTATTTTCAGGTTTACAAATGTAAGTTTGTAGGCAGCATGTTTGTTCCATCTGAAATATGATATGATAATAAAAGTGTGTCTTCGCAACTTGCCATATCCCATGGAGTGTGTAGTGCGTGTGAAGAGCAAAGAAGCTACACGGACCACTATTCCAAACCATGCACAAAGGAGGAGCACATACCCCAAGGTCTGAATCCGCACACCAAGCTTTTGTTTATGTGGAAGTGACTTCTGTTCTGCAAGAAAGTCTAACAACTCCTCTGCTGAGACTGTTTGCCTATTGCAGTGCTTCATGAAGCTATGCAAGGAAACTATAACGTCCTCAGCTGATATTTTGAAAATATCAACAGAATCTGAACCAACAAAGAAGTAATGTTGCACAAGAGGGTGGCGAGATAGAGGACCCATGCCAAGCTCTTCAAACCGTTCAATACCCTCATTCTTGCATATTGCCACCTCCAAGTCATATACAGTTGCAATTCTTTGCGCACCGACAAAGCAGTGTATAAATGCATTTATCTGAAAATTTTTAAATATTGAAAAGGGAATCAAACGCAGAAATGACTGATATTCATCTTCAGCTTGCATATTGATAAAAATCATGGGAATAAAATGTCATTAACCTCTCAACGTATGAAGCTATGTAAGTGTAAGTGTATAACTAAGGAGCCATTTAGACAAACTGCATAATTGCTAAAATATTACAACAATTTGGAAACAAGCAAAAAGATTGTGATGAAATGATTGGATTAATTCAAAAATTCTGAACTCATTAAATTAATTATTATATATTTTGTTCTACTTAGACTTGCTTTCGCCTTAAACCTTATACCTATGCAACGAAACAACTCCACAAATCTAAACATTTAGATTTTGGGGATTACAATAAAAAATAGCAATAGAACATGTCTTAATCCAAAGTCCACCAGTTTAACCCAGCAATCAGACTGTCTTAAACTGGGGAGAAAAACGCAACAAAGAATCAGAAAGGAACAAGAAAGGAATCCATCTTCTTCTTTACAAACTAATGTAAAGAATTATACGTTAAAGCAAAGAGAAACTAGTATCAAGAAACAGAATAAATAAACAGTGTTATGCGCTTCCTTACCTCGATAACATTTAGTAACAGCCTGGCACTTGTGGTCTTGGTTAGCTTTTCAACATGAATTGTTTTCAGAACTCGGTGAAATAATAAAAATTATAATTTCTAAATCAGGGATTCTAACTAACATTTACCATTTTATCACCAATATTAGTTAGAACTTTAACCTGAATTAAGTTAGCTACATATTTAACGTAAACAATCAAAGATTAAGTTAATACGTACATCTGTCAATTTCTTCTTCTCTCTTATCACGTAGCAGTCAGAAATGATTTGACACAAGGCAATTGGATCTGTCAAATTTTCCAATTTTTTGCTTAATTCCTTCAGGATTTTCCCTCTAAGGACCTATGCCAATTATCTATAACATCACGATTTCAAAGATAATCCCCCTCTAAGTAATGTCAATCCTTGGTTTCCTTAAACAAATGGAGAGAGGTAAAAATCGAACCTTTCCTTCAGTAGCCAGCAATCGGCGAAGAGTCGGAACTTCCTGGAGCTGAAACCCTACCGCGCTCCAAGAATCCACCTGCAACGAAACCAGAGTGGCCTGCGAGACTTTCCAGGCCGTGACATTCTCACCAGCGGTGGCGAGATCCCTCTGAGCCTTCGCAGCCGCGCTCTCGACCCTCTCCATCGTCACCTTAGGGTTTAGGGAGGCATTTTGCGGCTGAGGCGGACGATGAGGAGGAGCAGCCTGGGATTGAATGTAGGGACTTTGGAAATTAGGGTTTTGAGGGAGAATATTGAGAAGGTTCTGGATTAAGGGGTTTTGGAGATTAGGGTTTTGGAAGTAGAACTGGGGAGTGCTTTGTTGTTGATAGAATTGGGGATTGGATTGGTATTGAAGGTTGGGGTTTTGAGGAAAGTAGCTGGGCTGAGAGTATGGTGCTCCGGCGGAGGAGGCGCCGGCGCCTCCGCCGCCGTGAGGGCGGTGCTGTCGCGGTCGCATGAAAAGCCCGCGAGTCTTTTTGTTAGCTTTGAGCGGGCGAGAGAGAGAGAGACTCAAAGTCGGCGGAGTTTACGTATTTATAGCCAGCAGAATAGGGTTCGAATTTGTTTCATGTAATTTTTGGATTTTAATTGGGCTTGAAGGTTGGCTAAGCACAGGTTTGTATTAAGCTGGGCCAAATTTGTGGGCTTTGTCTGACAGCCAGCACAAAATATCTTTCTAGAACCGAACTGGTGAAATACAAATTGAACACTAATCATACGCCTCGTTTGGTACGTGGGAATGAAGTCAAGTGAGAATGGAATGGAAGAAGGAATAGAATGGAATGTATGTGAAAATGGAATGGTCATTCCCATTCTCTTGTTTGGGTGCGTTTGTAGAATGAAGCTAGAATGAAAATCTAATTTTCATTCCCATGTTTGGTATCACTAGTTCACAAGTGAGAATAGAATCTTATTTTCTAATAATGCCCTTATAACAACATAGATTTTTAATAAGATAAAAATAAACATTAATGATAATAACTAAAAAAATTTATTTATGCATATGTTATATTAATCTAGGTATGTGTTATACTAATGCGCATGTTATCGATTAGGTGTATGTTTCGTTTATATTTTTTAAACAATTCTCACTATTTCTTAGTCTTAAAAAATTAAATAAAAATAAATAAAAGATTATTGCATCTTTCATAGGTCCAAAAAAATATAAAGAATGAGAATACATCGATTTTAGGGGCGATGAATAGAAAGGAGGCCTTTTTGTTTCGGTGGAGCCTAAAAAAACAGGGAGAAAATGAGAATACGTAGTCAAAAGCCATGATTTATAAATTACTTATTATTATTAATAGGGATATAATTGAAAAAAAAACCTAACTAATTTGATTCTCCCATTGAATGAGAATGATCATTCCCTATCTTTTCACATGGAATGCCCATTCCCACAAAAAATGGGAATAGCCATTCCATGAGAATGATCATTCCAACATCTAAAAACTAGTTTTGTTTGGTATGAGGGAATGAGAAGTGGGAATGACATTCCATTCCACCCCATTCCCGCGTACCAAACGGGGCCTTACGCCTCGTTTGGTACGTAGGAATGGACAGAAGTGAGAATGAAATGAAAGAAGGAATGGAATGAATTGTATGTGGGAATGGAATGGTCATTCCCATTCTCATGTTTGGGTACTTTTGTAGAATGAAGCTAGAATAAAAATCTCATTCTCATTCTCATGTTTGGTATCACTAGTTCACAAGTGAGAATGGAATCTCATTTTCTAATACGTAGTCAAAGAACCATTATTTCTTGGTTTATTTTTATTATTAATAGGGGTATAATTGAAAAATACCTAACTGAATTGATTCTCCCTTGAATGGGAATGAGCATTCCCTATCTTCTCACTGAGAATGCTCATTCCCACAAAAAGTGGGAATGATCATTCCTTGGGAATGGTCATTCCAACATTTAAAAAATAGGTTTGTTTGGTATGAAGGAATGAGACGTGAGAATGTCATTCCATTCCACCCCATTCCCGCCTACCAAACGAGGCCTTAGAGCCTACCCCGTCGGAATGGGGCGGTTTGCACTCTAGGTTAAAAAGCTGAAATTTCAAAATTAACCCTCTAACTAACTGTAAATTATATAAATTACTTCTTTCTACGGAGGCGTTCTGATAGGATCTGCACTCCAAATCGAAGTATGGAAGAACTAACTAGTACACAAACAGAACTCTGCAGATTCTGAAATATGAAATCTGAGAAGGATAGACGATGGTGATCTGCAAAGCCCTTCAAACTGCAAAATCTTACGTCTGGTGGAGAATTCAAGTTGAATGTAATTGTTTTTACTTTGTTCATATGCTTTCTGGTGTTGTGCAATATCCCTAAGTTCTGATTCATTTGGCGGGTGTTTGTTGGCATGTGTTGAGATATTTCAAAGTGATATCCATGCGACATATTTAAAGATCTGGCAATTTGCTTTTAGATACAAATGCATCTTTCTTTCGGATCTTCCTCAGGTCCAGAATGCATCATAACCAAATTATCTATGAGACAGTTTGATTGAGTCCGTCATCGAGACTCACTTTATTCCAAAAAGAAGTAGTAGTAAGCAAAGTACAAAGCAAAAATAGAATTGACAGATAATAGCGAAGGCTAATTTGTTGCCATAGAAGTAGTTCGATTAACTACCAATATCCCCACTAATGAACACCGCTATTTTCCTTCCACCTTAAGGGGCTGTTTGTTAGCTCAAAAAAATAAGGAAAAGGAGGATTTGAAAAGTGATTTGAGTGCCACATAGGATTTAGGTTTCGGAACATTTCCATTTCACATGTTTGGTTTGTTTGCCGATTTATAGAAAAGGGGCTCCGAAATGGGTGTAGGCGTCAAAAAATGCTAATAGGTATCCCAAACATAAAGAAGATCACTCAAAAAATCACAAGAATTGATCTCATACTGTTTTTGGAAAATCAAGACAGGTATGAACTGTCTCACCAGCGAGACAGGCTTTGCTGCCTCGCCAGCGAGACAGTGTAGTGATTGGTCTCGCCAGCCTCAGCGGACCAGTCGTTAAAATGCGCTCAAAAACCACCTGCATAACTGCCCTCACACGTGTCCATCTGACTGTACCAAGGGCACGTCCGGGCAAACCACTCCCGTAGGGCCGAAAATCACCGGAATGAACTTGCAAAATAACGGCGCAGTTTAACACAACCGCTGGGACGACAGTTAAAACAAAAATGCCAGACAGTTACTGGCTTTGCCGAGACCCAGTATGTTACTGCTCTCCCCGCGGCCGGGCCCGAGACCAGCAAACACTGTCTCGCCCGCCGAGACAGTAAACACTGTCTCGCGGCCTAACGTTGTTGTTTTGTTGAGTTTTTGTAGTTACAGACCCCATAGACTATAAATACCCCCCTAGGGTCATTTCTGACGAGGATCGAGCACATTTTCGAGCAGTCCAGAGCAGAGGGAGAGCAGACTTGAGTTCTTAGTGTGATTCCTTGAGATTTGAGCTTCGACTTAATCTTAAGAAGAACGACTATCTTACTTTGATAAGATATCGTTTCAAATTCTTACTTCGATAAACGAAGGAAGAATCATTAAGCCCCCTTCACGATCTGTGATTCGGCGGTCCACGAGTCAAAGCGCTCACGGCACAGGCAAAGTCCCACAAAACAGGATTCGATAAACGACTTCTGTGTTATTTTCTCAAAAGTTGTAATTTTCTCTTTGTTGTGTAAAAGAGGTCTTATAAAAAGACTATTTCTTGAATTTGTTGTAATCAAACAAAAATATAATGAATTCCACAGCAAAACCGATTTTTGACGAAAACAAACTGGCGACCACAGTGGGAGCCAGCGGCCTCGCTGCCAAGGCCGCCGTGTCGCAACCAATCAAGATCGTTGTTAACGAAGAGATCGAATACGAATTCGATCAGGCGAAATTCGAGGAGTATTTGTCATCCTCATCATCAAAACTTTCCTCACCTCGTAAGTGTAGGAAGTTTTCATCTCCAAAGAAAAATTTCAAGTCTACAGGTGAAGGTTCTTGCCCAATTGCTGCTAAAGAATCTACCTGCGATATCTCTGCTCCAAACGACTCTGTACCAGTCAAGGAGTCATTGATTAATGGCTCACCGGTGCTGACGAAAAGAGCTCGTCAGAGACAGCGCCAGCGCCGTGCTCGTCAATTGGCCAAGGCCATGCAACAAACCGACGGGGTCCATTATTATGCGGACCTAGAGTCGAGAAAACAAAAAGCGGTTCAATTGCCTCAACGGCAAAATAATCATATTTCTGCAAAACTTACGACGGATGAATGGACTCTCATCAAAAGAGCTCGTTCAACCCTCAAGGAACATATACAAAAACGTCAGGCAAAAGCTGCTCGAGCTCGTGCCCGTCGTCAACAAATACAAGGAACCAAGAAAGAAATAGTGTCTGAAAGGCCACCAAATAACCGTAAAGTTTGGGTTCCGAAGGCGCCGTAAACATCCGTTCCGGGCCCATCTACTGCATCACCAGTCAAACCCTGGGTTAGCCCAGATTTATCAAAGTTCAAGATCACAATGGCGGATCGCCTCGGTCCTTTGGTTGACGATTGAGGCAAAGCCCCAGTCAAAGAACAATCAGATCCAGTAAATAAACCCTTGGTGGTTTCTTATGCAGGGGGTCGTAAACACCCTCCTGTCAGAACTGCACCAGTCCAGAACGAGAGAATACCAGTTCACTATCGTTTAGGACCTATGAAAAATCCACACCCTCATGAGGGTGTATTTAAAAATTTAACCTTGGATCGCCCAAAGGTGACGACTGATCGCCCTGTGCATGTTAACAAGGTTCTGAAAACACAGATAGGTTGCTCAAATCACAATAGTGATGAGCTGTACTATCAGAAAAATAATTCAAGAAAGAGAATTGTCCGAGAAGACGAGTCTCACTGCTCCTGCGAGAGGCTCATTAAAGCAGTATTGACAGAATGCGGTTGCTCTAAAACTAACTCAACAAGAGTCTCCGTATTTCAAAGACTGTCTATGGAAACGCCAAAACCCAAAGTGAGGCGCTTCAACAAGAAGAAACCTGCAATTCGGCGAGATGAATTCCCTGAGGTCACTATTAACATGACCGGCAGAGGAAAGCAGCTATTAGTCAACCCTGACCCTGATTTCTCTCCAGAAGGGAGAGTTGAGCGGGGTCTATCTCAAAGAATGTCGCGGTTACAACGAAGAGCCAGTCGACGTCGGGACTACAAGAGAATGCACGAGGGGTTATCTTCAGAGGAAGAACTGTCAGATACTTGTTCTGCCATCGCGTCGGATGATACCACGTCTAGTGTTGGGCGAGTCAGAGAATCTTTCGCAATCATGCCAGATCAATTGGCTCAAATACTGCAGGAAGCGTTAGCTAAACAACGCGAGGAAATTAGAGCTGAAATCAAAACCGAGATGGAGTTGACCATGCAGCAGGTTCGAGATTTGCAAGCTCAACAACAACCGGAATCAAGCCAAAAGGCGGAATCCAGCAAGCGT